ACGGGGTCACAGTGGGAGTCAGGGCGACACTCCGAGCCGCAGATCCCTCCTCTGTACAAATCAGGGTAATAACACCGACATTTTGGTGTTTTGAAGATTCAATGAACTAACAGCTAGAAAGATCCAGCCTGTGCTGGCACCTGCCAAATACATGATTAAAATGTTTTCAGCTGCTGCCACACCACCTCGAAAAACCAAGTATTTTCACAATTCCACACACCCCTGGAAAACGTGTTCCATTCCCTTGAAGCGCAGTTTCTCCTGAGGGGAAACTCCTGGATGTCCTGAGCCCAGGTCACCACTAATCCCGAAGAGATTCTGGTCTGTGCTCCTCTCCCTCTCGCCCCCTATGGCACTGTGATGGACTGGGCAGGACAGGGGTGCCATCCAGAACGGTGCCTCTGGTCAGCTGCTGACACTGCCCTCTCCTCCTGGTCTGTCTCTCTGCTGACCGTCCCGTCACTCTCTCTTCTGGCTTTCCCCAGTGCCCCCGAGGCGTGGGGGATGCCCAACCAGCTTCTTGGGGAATAATCCCTGTTTTCTGTCAGGCGCCACTGTGGTCCCTCCGCCTCCTGCCCACTTCGCTGCCCCTGGGTGTCCAGGCAGGTTCTGCAGCCCACGCTGGGCTGCTGGAAGGCCTCCACTCTTCACTTCCAGGCCAAGGGCCAGTCTTGGGCCTTCTGCTCAAGGCCAGAGTGGCAGTGGCCAGGGAGCAGGGCTCTCAGTAGTGACTCCTGGGCTTTTCTGATCTGCTTTATTTGTAGTGGAGAGTTGCTGGAGAAATCCCCTGCTCTGCAGCCCAGCAGGCACTCCTGTTCAATGGAGCGTGACGAGGAAAAGCCCCCCCACCAGCCGTCCCAACATCTCGCCCTGCCCCCAGGGTACTTCATCACCCTGGACTCCCTTCCCCCACCCCAAATGCACCAGAGGGGCACAGAAGGTACCCAGAGTACCCCCATTTGACAAGGTCCTTAAGCATCCTTCCTACTGAGGACCCCCAGGACCTGACCTGGTCATCCTCCTTTTTGCAGCCACACCTGAGAGGGCAGGCAGTGCCCTGGAGGTGAGGCCCCTGCGTCTGCCCTGGCTCTCCTGGAGGCCCAGGGCTGAGGGACACTGCTGAGGTAACTGCAGCCCCACCCGGGGTGCAGGACACAGGCCTCCGGTGACAGCACCTGCTCATTAATCCAAGGCTTCCTCTCTGGAGCCTGCCCTGGCCCGGGACGGTGGTAGGGGAAGGCGAGCGGGATCCGTTCCTCCCTTCCTGGCCCTGAGGTGCGAGGTGCTGACGAGTGTAGGCAGGTACAGACAGGCCCACGCAGCCATCAAAAGGCCTGTGTAAAGCACCCTCTCTGCATGCAGCGGGAGGAGGTGGGGGAGTGTGTGGAAGAATCTGGAGATCTAGAAAAATTTGGCAGTGAAAGGGAATTCTTCCCACATGCTAGAACACTACGCTTGTTTCTGAAACGTCAGTCTCTGGGAAAGTTCAGGACTTCACTGTTGCAGGGCCTTTCTAAGCATAACTCCAAATGATTCTCTTCGAACCACGCAGCGGCACTGTTGACACAGGCGGTCATTCCAGCTGAACCTGACTCACCAAAATGGTGCAGAGGAGGCAAGTTGCTTTTGAGACTCTTCGTACACGTCCATTTTCAAAAACAAAAGAGCTTCAGGTGGAAGACGTTATTAAGAAACTGTAAGGACACCATCTTGGCTGGTCTGCACACTGCAGCCCTGAGAGCCAAGGTTCAAAGGCAGAAATGCCCGTGGTGACAGCGCTCCCACTGCCTCTGACCAGATCACGGACACAGCGCACTCGGGGCCGAGCGAGAACGGGCCTGTGTGGACAGCATGGGGAACCACAGAGGCCTGCGAGGAGGGGGAGCCACATTCCAGCCCTGCCGTGCCCCCCCCCCCCCATTTCCTGTGTGGCTTTGCTGAGTCACTTGATCTCTGGCTGCAGCTTTTTCACCTGTAAAAGCAGGGGTGGGGCTGATGATTCTAGAATCCCTCTCAACTCCGTGATTCACCGTATTCCAACTAAGGGAGGCCAGAGCACGGAGCCCTGCGGGTGTTTATTCATTCATTCATTCAACCAAGTTTGCATGAGCATCTACTGCGTGCCCAGCACCATGCTGGGACTCCTGCCCCAGACAACTCCGCCTCCTGGGGTTAGCAGAGAGGCAACTCCCCCGGGATCAAGGGCAGAGGGCACACCGCTGGCCCAGGAGCGGAGGCTTCTGCATGCTTGCCCCTGCGACAGGCCGCCAAGCTTTGCGGGGTCTCCTCAACAAGCTGGCAGGTCCCTCCCCCCGCCCACCCCTACCCCATCCTTTCTACAACCTGTGAAAGAAATGGATCTAAGTTTGCTGATATTTTCACCAAATCAAGCAGTCACACAACGTGATAGAGCAGAGGATGAGTCTGCTTGTGCAGGCCATCCGTTTTATAAGAACAGAAGAATCAACAATGACCGGTGATCACACTCAGCAATTTAAAATGATTAGAAAAAGTGCCAAAGATGCCACAGTGACCAACGGCTGGTTTGGGGCCTCAGACACCCTTTCCTTCAGTACCAGCACCCTGGTCTCCACCACATCATGTCTGTGACGGGAGCACTGTGCCCAGGCTACCGTCGCCCTACTGGAGCCAGAGGTGGACACGTGGCCTGAGCCCACCGACCCCACGCTGCTCTCTGCTCTCGGATCCCAGGTGTGGAGGCGTGCCAGGTGAGGTGTGCGGGGGGAGGACCTTCCGTCCAGGTCAGTCCAGATGCCCGGAGACCTTGGGGCTGCACCGGCTGCTGTCCTGAACTTGATGCCCCAGACTTCTCATCAGTGCTAGGAATTAGTTACCTGGTGGCCATCAAAAAACTTTCTTTCCTGCTCAAGGTGGAGCTAGGGTGAGTTCCATGGCTGGTAGCTGGAGGACCTGACTAATTGAAAATTTTTATGGTTAATGCCATGTGGGCTAATACTTTGCAGTTCAATCGAAATGTCTATGTGTTCAGCTTGAGCCCTTTGCACAGGAGGTGGCTGGGGTCACGGTTTCGAAAGACCAGCCTGCCCCCTGTTGGTAAGTGGGTAAGAATGAGCGACAGCTGCGGTCATTCCAGCTGAAAGCTTAGAAGGAAATTCATGTTTGTTGAGCTCTCAGAATGAGCCGTTCCTGTGCCAGGAGCTTTGTTCGTCTGATTCCCACAATCCTGGAAGTCAGGTGAAATAATCCCCATTTTATGGATGAGGGAATTGAGTTCAGTTGGTAAATGACATGCCAAAGATCACTTGGCTGATGACCAGCAGAGCAGGTACTTGAAGTCAGAGCCTGGGCTTTTAACCAAATACCACACTGCTTCACTGTGGAAGAAAACATACAAAAGAGTTTTCAAAAACAATGAGCAGCGAAGTGCCACCTTGGTTGTAGGGGGCTGGGGAGAGGGAAGAGTCAGCCCCTTTCCATCTGCGGGAAGCACTGGGCACTGGGAGCGGGAGCTGGCCAGTCAGGGCGGCACCTGCAGCGGGGCAGCAGGACGTTGGGCTCCAGGGTGAGCATTGCCAAGTCTATGGTCAAAGCCACGGAGAGGACAGTGTTTCAACCGAGAGGCTGAGGAGAGAGAGAGGTGGGGAGCCAAAACTTGGGCACCCCACAGCGGGATACCGGGAGAAGTGAAGGAGGCAGAGAGGCTCAGAGAGCGGAGGGCTCTGTAGACGGTCGGGCTCCACCTGGAGCTCTCAGGAGAGGGGGCCGATGGGCGCATGCGCAAAGGAGCTCGAACTACCTACCTGCAAATGCCCCCGTTTCTGACCAGGGGCAATGATACCTTGGGGGCGGGTTGAGTGGCGGCCTTCTGCTTCCTGCAAACCCAGGACGCCAGCGTTCACGCTGCCCAGCGCCCCCTGTGTGCTGCTCACATTAAAACCAGCTGAGACCCGGAAAGGGAGCTCAGCCCGGCTGTGGCCAGGGCCGGCCAGGTCTGAATCTCGCAGCTCCGCGGGGGCGGGGAGCCTGGGAGGTCTGGCCTCTGGGGGGCTGGGGGAGGCTCCCGCTGGTCCCGGCAGGCAGCCCGCCCTTCCTCTCCCTCCCCCTCAGTAAAGGAAGGCAGGGAAAAACGTGTTTTTATAAATAGCTCCAGCCCCAGCTGATTTGTAAATTCAGTGGGTTTTTTGTGTCAGTGACATCACCCTCTTCCCCATGGCAACCCTCGACGATATCAAAATTGCCAAGCAACGTTGGAGCAGGTCGTTGCCTGAGGATTTAATGGAGAAATCCCAAAGTGAGCCGCGGTGCGCGGTGGAGGAGGGGCGCGCCGAGGCGGGGAAGGACGCTGGAGCCGCCGTTGCCGCCTGCCAGGCAGCCAAGGGCCAGCTGGGGCTCCTCGGGCGGCCACGTTCCCTTTGGTAGCCCTGCTGTGGTCCGCAGGTGGGGGAGGGCACTGCTCCCCTGCCTGACATTCCAGGAGCCGGGAGCAGTCATCTAGGTGACTAAGCTGGCCCACTGACACTGAGTCACCCGCTGGCTTGGAGGTTTCTTTCTTCCCTTTTGCATTGATTATTCTGGGAACCGGCAACTTGGAGCTGCACCTGAGTCTCACCCCTTCTAGCCTCCCCTCCCTACCTTGGGCACCGTGAACGATGGGACCTGCTGAGAGTCTGCCGCCACTTCTTAAGGACATGGAAGACGCTGCAGGGGCCCGAGGTGCCGTGGGAAAGACTCCCGCCAACAAAGTGCAATAGCAGATATGGTGATCAGGCTGCTGTGTCCTCTAGAGGTGTCTGGAGAGAGGGGGAGTCTGGCCCATGCTGACTGGAATCCTCCCGGGCTGGCTTTGAACTCAGCTCCCATGAGATATTTCTGTAAATGAGTGTCTTCTAGGGTCAGCGTGGCCTTTGGAGAGTGAGGCTGGACTGGCTTAGGCTGGCCTGGGCAGGTAGGTGGCTCTGTGCTGGGTGTGGCCCCACGTGTGTGCTGCCTGTGCTGAGGACAGCAGGGGGCATCCGCAGAGAGCTGGCGATGGGGGATTTGGCAGCAGCTCACCCTCACTGGTGCTGGACCAGCCCAGGTTCTGACATGGGAGCTGTGGAAAAGGGAGCTAAGCACCTGGCCCGTGCAGGGTGAGGAGCAGCTCCAGCTCAGACAAGCCCGGGCCCTCTCTGAGTCCACAGCACAGACACACGGCGGAATGCCGGGGCAGGGAGTGGTCCGGGGAGGCAGGCCCAGGATGGAAGCCAGCCCGCCAGTGGGCTGGACAGCACAGGGGCTGCTCCCTCTTCTGACAGCCCTGGGCACTGAGGAGACAGCTTTCTACCAAGGAATTCTGTTGTTCGCCCATGCGGTGCCGGTCAGCGTCTGTGCGTGCTCTCTGCCCAGCTCCCAGGGGTGTGTTTCCTGAGAAGAGTGCCGGCCGGGGCTCAGCCTCCCCGTGCTCAGGACCCCGCCGGGGGCCGCTGCTTGGCTTGGCACTCAGGCCAGAGCCCCTGGCCCCCACGGGGCATGTTCCGCTGTGTGTCAGGCAGAGGGGCGTGGGCCCCCTCCCTCCCCCACACAGCTGGCAGCTTCACGGGCACACCGGTGAGTAAGCTGCTGAGGGAGGAGGCTCTGTGCCCACAGAGGCAGGACGACACCAACCAGGAGCCTTTGGGAAAAGCGGCTGAGCGAGAAAAACACTGAGGTTTTCTTTTTCTTTTTCTTTTCCTTTTTTTTTTTTCCTTTTTGCCTGAAGGGAGTGGTGCTTCCTGGGCTAGAGACAAGCACCAGCCTGCACTGGGGAGCTCAAGGCCCAGCTGCCCGGAGGAGCGGCCACGGTAAGGTCCCTGCTACTAACTTGGACATGGGCTCGGGCTTCCCAGGCCAGGGTGGAGCGCAGAGGTGTCCAGGCTACTTGCTATGTGGGACAGGGGAGCAGCTCTAGATTCCTGTGGGCCCCGTCCAACCTGCCACTCCCTTTCCAGATGGATTTTGAAACAGCCCAGTCCAACCTGGCCTCTGGTGTCCTTATTTCTGCTATTCCTGCCTGTACCTTCCTCTCCTCCTAGGCCAAGTCAGTGCCACCTCTCCTGGATGCCCTCTTCCCCTCCCACCTCTGGGACACTCCCCTCTTGTATTCACCCCACAAACATTTATGGAGCATCTCTGGGACCCAGGCTACAGGCCATGCCTTATGGGGAGGGCTTGACCTGGGACAGAGTCTGACCCCAAAACTCAGTGGCAGGCAGGGTTCAGGGGTGCCTGGCTAAGTGTCACTCCTCCTCACAGGCCTGGGGCTCCTCACTGCTGCTGCAGGTGAGCGACCTGGTTTGTTCCAGGGGTGTCAGGCACAATGAGCTTGGGGTGTTAAAGTGCTGGGGCCCCATCAAGAAGCAAGGCCAATACAGTGTCATTTGTTGTTTTGCTGGTGTCATACACCAAGGTTGGGGGGCCCTGCTTGGGTTTTTTTCCTAAGCTGGTTCTGGTAGGAACCAGGCTCTAAGTGTTGAGGACGAGCTCTCTGGGCTGCCTGGCCCTTGGGCTCCACAGAAGCTCGTCTAGGAGCTGGGAATAAGGCCTTTGGGCCAAGTAAGGGGTTAAGGCCTTTGGGCCAAGATCAGGAGTGGCAAACCTGGGAACCCTCGGGCCTAGTCAGGAGTGGCTGTGCACCAGGAGCAAAGCTTTAGGAAGCACTTGATTTGGGGGAAGCTTTGTGCCCGTGAGTAGCCGCAAGGTGGGAGTGTGGGGTCTGCCTGGGCCTCCTGGTCCCCCAAGAACAGACCAATTCTTTGTGAGCTGAGCTCTCTACTAAGTGCCAGGCACAGGGAAGGTACAGGCAGGGGGAGCCCATGGGACCAGAGTCAGGATGAATCCCTTAAGTGTCTCCTTCTCAACTAACCCCCACACCTGGCTCCAGGATGAAGAAATCCTGCTTCCCCAAAAAGGTGACTGACTCCACGCCCGGGCCCCCCTGTGTCCAAGCCCGGGGGTCCCCTGTGTGTGCAGAGCTGAGCAGCAAATGCTGTCCAGCTGGGTCAGCGTGGCAGAGGGTGTGGAGCGCCAGACAAACAGCAGGCAAGCAGGGTGGCATCTGGTGGAGCCAGGAGGGAGCAGAGGTCAGAGGCCAGATACAGGGGCAGGAGAGGGAGAGGCTGCCTGAAGTTTAAGGACGGCTTCGGGAGGGCTCTGGACGCTGGTTTTCTTATACCTGCCCGCCTCTGTGGGATGGCCCGGCAGGGGGTCGGTGGAAACGCCAAGACTGTACTCCTTACACACGTGGCCCCAGAGGGAAGTCCAGCACAGTCTGTCTGGGATGTGGAAGGCCGAGGGACTCGTGGGAACCTGTCCTGTGGCCTAAAGCAGAGCCCTCCTCATAGGACGCCCTCTGCTCCATGAGTGGGAAGGTGCAGGGCTCAGGAGCAGTGTCTGAGACTGGGAAGTAGAAAGGGTGCTGGCAAGCCTCATCCACAGGCATTCTGCAGCCTGCCCCCACGAGGGCTAGGAGAAGAGAGTTCATTCCTGTGCACCTGCTTTGGGGGAAGGAAGCGGGTGGCTACCAGGCTGGAGTAGAGCATGGGAAAGTGAAAGCCTGGGGGCAGAAACAGCTCCCCACCTCCTGAGGCCCCGCCGGCCCTCCTGCCCGGGAGAGCGCGCGCTGACTGGAAGCCCCCTTCTGAGCTCAGCCCTAGGGCCCACTAAGGGCTAAGGTGAGATTGCGGGGTGTGCGATAAAGGGAAACTTGTCTTGTCTTGGCAGGATGCGGGCTCCAGGCAGCACTTGGGAGATGGCAACTGGTGCCTTGTTCTGGCTCGCTTGCAGGCAGGGTCCAGCTGTTGCCTGACTCCCAAGTACAAATCACTGGTGGCAGAAACGGAGGGTGGCGGAAGTGCCAAGAAAGGAACAGGACGGGGCCCTTGCCCTGGGAGCTCACAGCTCTCGGCAGAGGAGGGAAAGGGAAGCTGAGCTCGGGGCCAACCCCACCGGAAGCCAGCTGGAGCTGCAGTGCGACGGGGGCACTGCCTTCTGCTCGCTCTGGGCTCCCTAGTCATCTCTGAAAATATCCGTCATGACCCACTCAGTCTGGATAATTTATAAATTTAGACCAATATCAGGAGGTGGTTCTTAACATAGAACTTTATGAAGGTAGACTTAAAAAAAAAAGATTAGCTGAGAATGCAAACACAAAGGAAGGAGCGGCTTCTCCTGTTATGAGTGGAAGACAGGTTCTCAGGGGCCAGAGAAGGCAGAATGGTGGAGGGTTAACAGCAAGAGTCAGCAGGTGAGTGTCAGGCCCTGGGCAGCCGGTTCCTGCCAGGTGACCTCAGATGAATTACCTCATCTCGCTAGGTCTTAATTTCCTGTCCTGTCCAATGGAGATAATTATAGGACCTATGAGACGGGGTTGTTGAGAGGATTATTAGGCACCGTGCAAACACTCTCAGCCGCACGGCAGGCACAGGAGCACTCCGCAGCCCTGCTGCTGTTGGGGTGACTGTTAGTGTCGGAGAAACAAAGCGCTGGGAGGCAGCGAGCTCCCTGGGGTCTCCAGGGGAGTTGGAAAAGGCTTCATGGAGGAGGCGGCTTTGGAAGAACTCCTCCGTCTAGAAAAGTTGAAGCACTCAGAATGCTGAGAGAGCCATGCCTGATAATGCCGGAAGAAACGCAACACCAGGTCCATTTTTTTCCCAAATAGCAAATTGCTTTTCCACTGAAGTTCTCTAAAGAATGATTTGAGACTGTTAAGAGTTTCCTTCTTTTTCTGGGGGTGTAGAGTTTGACGTCTTGAGACCTTGGCATGGACTGCACATAGTGAAGGAATCTAGCAGCCTGGTCTGACTCTGGTCACGTTCTTCTCTGGGCCTGGAGTCTCGTCACAGGGCGGCCCCACCTCCTTGAAGAGCTGTGTCCACACCTGGAGGAGGTGTGTAGTGCAGAAGGGCCAGACTGGCGACCACAGCGGTCTCTGGGACTGCTGTGGCAGGGGACTCGGAAATGCCCAGGATTCATACGGCTCAGAGGCAGAGACATTTTTCTTTTCCTACCCGAGGGTTATTGCTCTATGAATTTAGGAAAGATAATCCCAAGTTCTGTTCACCTGAAAGAATAAGGCAAACCCAGAACACGAAAGACTTTCGTATGCTGGGGGAATTAGCATGCAAAAAGGGGGGGGGTTCCCTCGTAACTACATGGGGCCACATCAGCCCCGGCAAAGGGACGCCCATTCAGACCAGCATTTTCGGTACAGTCTTGTTATGACACATCAGGCAGCACAAGACCCACGTCCTCACAGAGAGACAGTGATGGCCTTGCTTGTACACCCGCAGGTTCTCTGTGGCAGCTCCCCCCTGAGAGTGCTGCGTTGTCAGGCAATGCTGGCATCTTCTGGTTGGCTCTGGTTTGCCCAAGACTCAAAGCGCTCAGGCCCCTGGGCCTCTAGCTAAGGGGCGGAGGCAGGGCTGTGTCCTGCATGCTCAGGCTGCCCAGGACCAGGGGTGGGGGCCTCTGGGTGCTCAGGTCATCTGAGGCACTGTTCTGCTCTCTGCTCCCAGGGTGGCAGCTCACCCCAAGGCAAATAGCGAGGAACCAGTCACCTTGCTCAAGGCCCCCTGCTGCCGGCCTGTGGGCCCCAGCTCCCGAAGGCTGCAGCAACAACAGGGTTAAAACCGGAAGGACTGGTTCTCTGGTTCAGCTTCCTGGCCTGGAACCTCCAGTCTCCATTTTCTTTTTCAGCTTCAGATGAGGCTTCAAGTGGAGTTATGCAAAAAGGCACAGAGGGTGGAGGAAGCCAGGGGACCCACTGGCGACAGCCTCCTTGCAGGTCCAGAGCACAGTCCCAGGTCGGTGAGGAGAAGCTCACAGGTGGAAAAGGCTGCCCCAGGGAGGAGCCAGCTGCCTTGGATGGCTGTAGCCCATTCAGAAGGAGTCCCTAGGAATATTTAATCCAGCCGCCGTGATTTTAGAGAGGGAAGAAGAGGCCCAGAGAAGGGAAGTGGGTCCTGGGGCCACGCAGCTAACTGGCGGTTCAGGCCTGGGGGTTCCTGCCTCCCAGCCCCGTACTCCCACCTTTCAGGCTGCCTTTCCACAGGCAGCAGCTTAGAAGGCACCCCAAGCAGGGGCGGGCACCTGTAGCTGCCCGGTAACTTGATGGGTTGAAAGCAGTGGCCTGACAAAGTGGGAGGGTGGACAGGTCCAAGCCCTCCTCTGTGGCTCCTGCCCTAATGGTCCTGGTCCCACCCCCACCCCCTCCCACACCACCAATCTTGCTCCTCATAGAAGCCCAGCTTAGCTCCTGCTTGCCCAGCACAGCCCTGCATAAGAGGCTCTGCCCACCCCACCCAGGCCACTGAGTGTAAATGGATTGACTCGAGTTCTGCTTGTCCCAGGAGGCAGTTTACATTATAGCCAGAAGGCTGTCGATGTCTTAAGCCCAGCGGGATGATGATGAGAGTGTCTAGGAATGAAAGAGAAACTGGGGCAGGGGTTGGGGGTTGACATACGGGAGGCCCTTTACCTCGGGTGGATTTCTCCACAGCATATATACTCTGGCCCCTGGCAGGAATTTACATGTCCAATGGCCACCGTCAGAGGTCAGATCTCAGAAGCAGGAGGCCTGTCATTTGTCACCCTGTCACCAGGCCCAGGCTGGACAAGAAGACTTCAGTATTATACTATTGAGGGTCTTGCTGGAGATGGTGCGTCTGGAATTGAGAAAGGCGGAGGTCTCAACCCTGGTGAGGGGTGGAGCCAAGCCCAGGGGCAAGGATGCAAGGTCCGGGAGTGAGCAAGGGCACAGGCTCCTGCAGAGGAGGGGCGGTCAGGACGGGAGGAGGAGCTGCCT